TGTTGAACTCAAAAGAAATTAAAAGAACGTAACAAGATATAAATATTGAAAATCTAGGCATCCACTCAAATTAGAATAATAATGAATACAATCTATAGCAAAAACCTAAAAGAGTCGATAAACATAAGTGTATATTTCTACTCTTCTCTATGCTTTCTTGAAAATGGATGGAGTGCCGGAGAATATATACAAGCTGTTCTATTATGACCAATTCTTCTGCAACGACCACATTTGAATGTTATTTTTGATGGCTCGGTAGCAGGAATATGCCTTTTCTTTTGCCTTCTACCTGGTGGCACTTTGAAATCTGGAGGTTTAACAATTTGTGACTTAACACTCTCTGGTACAATCCATGAATCAGTATGTCCTACAGGATGTATTTGTCTTTCATATGTTTTCAGCCAAGATTCCTTTAAGTACCAGTGCGAACAAAAGTCAGACTTCTTGATGTTTCTCTTCTCGATAGCTGCAATTGCATGTATGCATGGTAATTCATCAAGTTGAAATTGAAAACAATCACATGTTCTTTTGTTTAAGTCCACCAAGAAAGTTATTCCTTCTTCTTCAACTCTAGAACGCCATGAATCAACAGGGAAGACCTTCAATGTTGAAAAATTATAAGTGAGTACATTATGTTAAAAAATGTCAAAATCATAATATAAACATAAAACATAATACTTACGTTCAAAGTAAATGCTAAATCTATTCTGTTCTTCAATTCCTCCTCTACCCAACAAGAAACATCATAAAATGTTCCTTCTGCTTTATTTCTTCTTTCATAAAACCAATGTTGTAGCTTCACTTGAATGAAATCCATCATTCTTAGTATAGGCAGCTCCCTTGCTTCTAATAGCACTGAATTCATCGACTCAACTATGTTTGTTGTGAGCATGTCATATCTTCATCGTGGACTACAAGAACGTGCCCATCTTTCCGGTGGTTCTTACATCAAGTAGTCATAAGTTTTCTTATCTACATTTGCAATATCTGACATGTATATGTCAAATTCTTTACGCTTGTATACTCTAGCAGCACTTTGGAAAAGTTTTATGACCTCACTTTTCACCTTTCTTCACTTTAGGTTCTGCTCCAAATGATAGATGCAAATCCTATGATGGCTTTCAGGATATACCTTTACAATGCCATTTGCAATAGCTTGATGCCTCTCTGATAAAAAAATCAAATTCTCACGGCTCCCAATTGCATTGCGAAGCTGACTAAAGTACCAATCATAGGAACTGTTGTTTTCAGATTCTGCTATTCCAAAGGCTAATAGGAAAATTTGGTTATTTGCATCTTTTGAAACTGAAATCATTAAAACACCGCGATATTTTGACTTCAAAAAAGTTGCATCAACAGCAATCACTGGTCTACAATGATTCCAACCAGCTATCGATGGTTTACCTGTTGTTGTCGTCTATCTTTATATTAGTATAAGTTCCTGGGTTCTTACTTGTCATCATATACAAGTATGAACACAATAATTCATAATTTTCTTCGGGACTTCCTCTTATTATAGTGAAAGCATGTTGAATAGCACGCCACACCTTGTGATATCCAATGTCTAGTCCATGCAATTTTTGCATCTCTGCCATGACAAAAGCTGGTGTAACTTCAAATCTTGGGTTCCGAAGATTATCAATAATGTAACCACTAATCAACTTTGAAGTAGCATGCCTTTGATCTGCTTTCCTAGTGTTAACAGAGCAGTCGTGCTTTTTTTCAAGCTTTACTATCTTGAATAATGTTGAGTCTTTAATTCTGAAAGCACGCACACACCAACGACACCTATCATCATTGCATGTCAACGAATATCTTGTTGATCTTGATCTAACAACTTTGAATTCAAAATGTCCTTTGATTGCTATATTGGAAAAACAGTTAATTATGCTCTTCTTCTTATCAAATACTGATCCGACTTTTATTTTATCCAAAGAAGCATTTTCTCTTAATATCGTAGTTGGGGATTCTTTTTGTTTCAAATTTGATCTTCGTCTAGTTATTTGAGTGCAAGTTTTGTCAGCAACTACTTCGATTACCAGTGCACTCTCTAAGACATGAATACCCAAAGCTTGTTCGTTGTCAATCTCTATAATGCTTTGTCCTTCTACTTGAATACAATCAAATGTTTGATGCACCTCTTCATTTAAAGGTTGAGCTTCAACCATATCTACTTCAACTATCTGTTGGCATCGCTCTTGATTGTCATGTTGAGTTTTTGTGTTGGCATGTTCATTGCTTGTTGATGCAAAAACTCTTTCCGAAATATCAACTATGAAACGACAGCTCTTGAAGAGTGAATGAGTTTTTAGCAACTCTATACATGTGTGAAGATCTAAATCTTTGGATACAAGCATTCCTTTGCTTGTTCCAAGGTTGATATCAAACCATATCACTATTTCAAACTTTTCTCTATCCAATTCAATAAGCTCAAAAATCTGTTTAACGAAATCTTCAAACTGAATTGACTCAGGTGCTAGGAAAAGCTTTGTTTGATGATCAAGATATTTATAGTCTTCAGTCCATCTACCATTAAAAGCAACTATTATGCATATTGTTTCCATCCTACAAGTCAAGAGAATGGGAAACAAAGGACATACGTTATAAAGCAATCCTTGTAGAATTAAGAACAGGTGTACTGTAAGTGCAAGACCAAGATAAGGACTGTCTGTCCTTAACATTTAAACATGTAATTAAAGTTAAGGACTGCCAGTCCTTAACATTTAAACATGTAATTAAAGTTAAGAACTGTCAGTCCTTTAACATTTAAACATGTAATTAAAGTTAAGAACTGCCAGTCCTTAACATTTAAACATGGAATTAAATGTTAAGGACTGCCAGTCCTTAAGTTTTAAACATGGAATTAAAAGTTAAGGACTATCAGTCCTTAACTTTTGAACAAGAAATTAAAAGCTAAGGACTACATGTCCTTAACATTTAAACATGGAATTAAAAGTTAAGGACTTCCAGTCCTTAACTTTTGAACAAGAAATTAAAACTTAAGGACTGTCTGTCCTTAACTTTTGAACCAGAAATTAAAACTTAAGGACTGCATGTCTTTAACTTTTGAACCAGAAATTAAAAGCTAAGGGCTGCCTGTCCTTTAACATTTAAACATATAATTAAAGTTAAGGACTGTTAGTCCTTAACATTTAAACATGGAATTAAAAGTTAAGGACTGTCAGTCCTTAAATTTTGAACTAGAAATTAAAAGCTAAGGAATGCCTGTCCTTTAACATTTAAACATGTAATTAAAGTTAAGGACTGTCAGTCCTTAACATTTAAATATGGAATTAAAAGTTAAGGACTGTCAGTCCTTAAGTTTTAAACATGGAATTAAAAGTTAAGGACTGCCAGTCCTTAACTTTTGAACCAGAAATTAAAAGCTAAGGACTGCCTGTCCTTTAACATTTAAACATGTAATTAAAGTTAAGGACTGCCAGTCCTTAACATTTAAACATGTAATTAAAGTTAAGAACTGTCAGTCCTTTAACATTTAAACATGTAATTAAAGTTAAGAACTGCCAGTCCTTAACATTTAAACATGGAATTAAATGTTAAGGACTGTCAGTCCTTAAGTTTTAAACATGGAATTAAAAGTTAAGGACTGCCAGTCCTTAACTTTTGAACCAGAAATTAAAAGCTAAGGACTGCCTGTCCTTTAACATTTAAACATGTAATTAAAGTTAAGGACTGCCAGTCCTTAACATTTAAACATGTAATTAAAGTTAAGAACTGTCAGTCCTTTAACATTTAAACATGTAATTAAAGTTAAGAACTGCCAGTCCTTAACATTTAAACATGGAATTAAATGTTAAGGACTGTCAGTCCTTAAGTTTTAAACATGGAATTAAAAGTTAAGGACTGTCAGTCCTTAACTTTTGAACCAGAAATTAAAAGCTAAGGACTGCCTGTCCTTTAACATTTAAACATGGAATTAAAAGTTAAGGACTGTCAGTCCTTAAGTTTTAAACATGGAATTAAAAGTTAAGGACTGCCAGTCCTTAACTTTTGAACCAGAAATTAAAAGCTAAGGACTGCCTGTCCTTTAACATTTAAACATGGAATTAAAAGTTAAGGACTGTCAGTCCTTAAGTTTTAAACATGGAATTAAAAGTTAAGGACTGTCAGTCCTTAACTTTTGAACCAGAAATTAAAAGCTAAGGACTGCCTGTCCTTTAACATTTAAACATGTAATTAAAGTTAAGGATTGTCAGTCCTTAACATTTAAACATGGAATTAAAAGTTAAGGACCGTCAGTCCTTAATTTTTGAATCAGAAATTAAAAGCTAAGGACTGCCTGTCCTTTAACATTTAAACATGGAATTAAAAGTTAAGGACTGCTAGTCCTTAATATTTAAACATGTATTTAAAAGTTAAGGATTTTGTCCTTAAGTTTTTTTATTCAATTTGCAAAATGAGGCCAGTAGAATCAAAGTTAAGGACATAATGTTCTTATTTTTTTGAATTCAATTTCCAAAATGAAGACACTATGTCCAGAATACATAATTATCATAGGAGGTGATGTTTATAAATTTATCAATCCAGAAATTAAAAAAAATCAAATTCTTATCTAATATATAATCAAATCAATATAGATCTAAAAAAGTATAACTATAGCGAAATAAAAATCGATAGAAACACATGAAATTACAACTTACTGTTTATCTATGTCGTCTTTTTGGATTAGAATGCTGAATTTTTGAAATTGGGAAGAGAAATGGTGGTTCGTCCTCAGTTGATCGCCGCTGTGGTAACTGCTGCTGCTGCTCGCTTCTTCTCTTTATGTAACTGCTGCTTGTGTTGATAGCATAGATATAAGTTATACCAGAAGGGTATTTTCGTCCAGTCAAGTATAAGTTTTTTAAAGGAATGGCTAAAGTCTAAATATATTGAAAATAGTGGCTTTAAAATAAAAGCCACTGCTTTTAGTGGCTATATGTGTCGTTCGCCCTCAGATTTTTCTCTTGAGAGACATTAAAAAACCTAGGAGAGCTTCATCTTCCACACACAACAAAAACCCTAGGACCCAAAACACAAACAGCCGCCGCCACCCTGCTCTCCAAAACCTATTGCCGTCGCCGCACAACCTTCCCCAGTTGCAGGAAATCACATAGACTCACCACCCCTCAGCCGTCGCCCACCCTAACCACCCCAGAACCACCTCAGAAAACCTTTCTCCTCCATCCCCAAGACAGCACCCGTGACCTTCTTCCAAAAACAAGACAACAAGACCATCTTCTTCCTCATGAACCTTGGAGTAACAACAATGGAGGAAAAAGCCTAAAAAGACATTGAACTAAACCCTTGAACCGGAGCTACTAGTCTTCTTCTTTCTTCACATTAACCTTAGAACCTTAGAACTTGAAGACCATATCCATGGCTTCCTCCTTCCTCGGCCTTGAACGAAAACAAAAGCCCTAAGACCCTTCTCCTTCAGCGAGCAAAAACAGCCCTCCTACCGCCACAACCATCTTCAGTAGCCACCGCCGAACATAAACCAGAACTCGATCTCCATCCGCTTTTGCTTCTTCACCGTCCCTCCAAACCGTCATCAGAACGACGGATCTCCATACTATCGTGAAGACAACACCAGCTACTCCCAGATCTTCTTCTTCGCGGATAGGTAGAAGCAGCAATTAGAGCCCCCTGAACTCTTCCATCAACAACGAAAATCCCAGCAATCCAATGTTGGCGGTGGACTACTATGGTTTAATATTGAAATTCTTGCATCAGATCTTTAAGTTTGAATTTCGGAACATTGGTGTTCGAGTCGTGGAGTCCGATTAAGAAGTTGATGTTCGAGGTTGGAGGTTGCAGCCACTGTTCCCATTTTGTAGCTATTTTTTTATCAGATTTCGTCATTCGACATTCTTCGTGACACATCTGAGCAGCATTTTGATTAAGAAAATGAGAGGTCTATTTCTTTCTTTTCATCCATTCATTTCTTGTTCTATGGTGATAAGTTGTGTGTCTTGTTGAAATATGTGTTATCTTCCCTGATTTGAAGTAGTAATGTACTGCTCTTGAAATCTTAGGTGACTTAATACTATTTGAATCCATCACTTAACTGTGTCATTCAAGATTAATTGTTCAGGTTTGCTGGCACTTCCTTACTGCCTTTATGTGTTGGGACTTTGGATGCATATTGATTTGATACTAAAGCAGCTTCAGTAGAGTACATAATTGGGTTTTAAGATAATGTATACAAAAAAATTAATTAAGAATTTAAGTTAGATTGAGTGTGTACCATGGGACTGACGTAATAAGGAAACTAGCAAAGCGGGTAGGCGAACTTTATGATTTTTTGTTAATTTGAGGCGAGAGGTCGTTCCTGTAGTTAAATTTATCCGGGGAATGCCCCGTAGAGTTTGTATATATTATTATCCGGGGTATGCCCCGAAGAACTATGTAAATATTTTGGAGGCCTTGGCGACTATGGTGGAGAAGTAGTATAGGCTAGCTTAGGACTTTTCTTTTCTTTTCCTTTTAATTTTCTCTTATTAAGAAGGGACGACTTCGAACCTTTTGGATGTCTATTTCCCTTTGTGTGTTTTACCTCAATTTGAATATCTTAAAAGCCAACTTGATCGAGTACGCAACCCTGACCTTCACGGGACTTGGGGAATGCCTAACACCTTCTTCCCTAGTCAAATGAACCCCCTTACCCAAATCTCTAGTGTAGACTTAGTTTTAGAGTTTAAAGTGTTTTGAAAGGAAAATTATTATTTTTGGAAAAAACGGTGACCCGACATACCGAAATCAAATGTCAGGTGGCGACTCTGAGTTATTTCCTTTTGAACAAATTTTTGTCACTTTCTAATTGAAAACCCTTTTCAAGCTTTATTTAAATCTTTTATTTATTTAAGAGTATTAAGTAGAGTTTGTTTTAAAAAAGGGGTGTAACAACCCGTATCCATCTAACCGAACCAGACCCGTTCCATACCCAAACCATCCCAATTATGACCAAAACGACCTCGTTTCCCATAAGTCAATTGATCCAAGTCGTTAATCTCATCANGGAAATTGCCTACGGCGGCGGTCGACGTCCAAACACCTCCATTTTTACACCCTAGGTTCCCCTCGACCTCCCCTTTCCAAACCCCTAATCATCTTCCCTCGAATCCCATCCAGGTTGTTTGAATTTTCAATAGAATATCAGTCAAAAAACCTAGCCACTTCCCCTTAGCCCCAAATTAACACCCTATAGTCCCCTCCCTTCCTTTACCCTAATTTATCACCGTTTGCCTTCGATTCAGGTAAGATTCGCTCAAATCTTAATTTATTGAACGAACCCTAAAAAAACTCCAGAATTAATATGCAGTTGAAAAATTGAAGTCTTAATCGACTTTAATCGCGTGTTCTCAGTCGAGAACACTCGATTAAGGTCCATTTCGGATTCAAATTCAAATTGAAGTTTCAATTAGAAAATATTTGAAGCCACCATTAAACTCTGAGGTATTTCTTTTTTCTTTTCTTTTTCTATTGTTGTTAGTTATGTATGAATAATCTTCTGTGACTCTTTCGTTCATTTTCTTTCCTCTCTTTCGAACTGTTTATTTGGTCTAACTTCCTCATTAGTCTTAGCCCTGAAAGCATGTTAGAAAAACCCTTAAAATTGGTAGGTAATCAGTCACCACATTGATTTGAATTGCTTAGTCAATTGAATGTTGTGAAATTACTTGAATTGCTTTGTTTTTAACTGTCATTTGAACCCACTGTCATGTTCTCCCAGATGTGCATCATATGTGTTAGTTCAGTTTAGGATTTATTGATTAATAAGGTTTAGGGTAATTCACTGAATTAAAAATGTTAGGACTAAGTGGGATGCCATCTTGGTTGTCAGGGCACATTTGATTTTAAAAAAACCATGTTGACTATACTAATTGGATTAGAATAATGGAAAAGGTTTAATAATAGGATGGACATCCAGTAGTGGGTTTCTCAGAGAATATCATGGGGGAAATTCTTTCTTAAATGGTTTTAGTGCTCCTAAGAGCTGGAGAGGGTTTGGTTTCGGGTATAAAAAGACAGGGTCTGATAGATCTTAAGGGGAGAATTTTAGAGACATCATTTTGAGAGTTGAGGATCAGTTGGAGAGGCAATCAGTTTTAGGACAGCATTTTGAGAGCTGGGAGAGCATTTAGTTTTAATTTGAAAAACACAGAGAGTTTTTTGAGAGCTTGAAAACACAGAGAGATACAATGACAGATTCTAAAAGAGAGAGTTTGGAGTCAGTGTTTGAGAGTTAAGGAAAAACAAACAGAGTTTGATAGAGAAGTTAAAAAGAAAAAGAAGGCATTGTTTCATTGATTTTCTGGTTGACTTTTGATCGATTCTCTTCTTTTTGATTGCTGGAAGTTTTCCTAAGATCAAGGTTTTAATTTCGAGCTTGATTGGTGCTATTTGAACTTTTCTAGTTGTGTAACTGGTTTTTCTGGAAATCCCAGTTCAATTTCAAGTTCATTTGAGCTTGTTTGAGTTGTGTGTGTTGTTGAGTAATCTGGTTCCATTTGGTTTCAAATTCTCCTGGGTTTGCTGCATTCGTTACTGGGCTATTGCTGATTTCTGCTTGTTATTGCTGCTTGTGATTGCTGAATATCAGTTGATTACTTGCTGCTGACTTCTTCTTGTTCTTCTGTTCTGCTTAAAATCCAGGTACACATTTTAAACCTGATTCAATGTAGCATCTTCAGTTGAGAGTGAAATGAAATTGAACAATTCCTCTACTGTTGATTTATTATTTTAATAATTCTATTATGCCTTAGATAATTTTCTATGATTTGGTTAGTTGAATATTGTAATTAAACTAGAGACACTTTGGACTATTGATTATATAACCACAACTATATTGGACTGTAATTGGATGCCTGGACTCATTTGACTTTAGTATATTGGTTAAGTGAAAGTTAGTTCACATGCTCATAGATCAGAATGACTAGAACATAAACATTTGGATATCATAAGTAATTAGAACTGTTTTAGACTTTTGAATCTTTGATTTGTATTGGACTGAAAATTGACTTTGAATTGGCTGGATTGTAATAATTTGAACCGCATAATTAGGACTGCTTTAGGTGAATTTGGATTATTTTGATTGTCATTTTGTATTGGTCTGCCTATTAGCTTAAGGTAATTGTATTCAATAGTTGGTAGAATTGAACACTAAAATAGTTTTAATTATGAGCTCAAATTGGATTGCATGTTACTGAATACAAAATTGGGCTATAAGTCGTCCAGCATGGTACAATCAAATTTAGATTGATTGATCGCCACAAGCAACTGAAGTCTTAATTCTTAGAAATAGTCAGTTAAGTCTTTGATATAAGAATCAGGTAAAACACAAATAGCTTGGATAAGTAAATTGCTTGGTCAAAGTTGAATTGTGATTTAAGGTCGTCTGGGCTGCACGTTGCATGTGGTATTAAATTACCTAACTGAATGGATTTGGATTTTTAAATGTCTATAAATCAGTTAGTATTAATAATAAGTTGACATGGGGCTTGCCTTAATGGGCTTGAACGCCGGCTGGGCCAACCTCATCAGTTCTGGTACAAAAGTAAATTTGCACAAAAGGGCAATAAGGTTCAGTTTCGGTTGACATTAATTAATTAGGGTGATTTTTATTAGAGATAACTTGAAATAGAAAATTGTAGTTGGCTTTAGGATGGACCTTTAAATAATAAACGAGATGAGCCTCGCCAGACAAAACATATGAATCGCAGGGCCCTCGATAAATGTTTGTGTTAAAACACTTAGATTTCGGAATGGGTCATTTAGCAAATTTCATGGCCTTTCCCAAAGTTAATAACACGTTAGTCTTTTTAGGCGCGTATTTTAATAACATTACCTCCCTAAACTCGGGTGCGCATTTATGTGACCCAAATCCAAATATCAACGAAGTCGAAATGTGTCAATAACCACGGGTGCATTTATGTGACGTGGTTCGAGACACGTTTTCATGGCGTTGCAATTCTCTTTAAAATAATAATAAAAGCGGTTTAAAGTTAAGAAGCACATCAGTTACAACATGTATTAAAATCAAATAAATAAGCCAAATACGAACAGTTGAGCGACCGTGCTAAAACCACGGAACTCGGGAATGCCTAATACCTTCTCCCGGGTTAACAGAATTCCTTACACATATTTTTGGTTCACGGACTGTAAAACAGAGTCAATCTTTTTCACGATTTGGGATTTGAACCGGTGACTTGGGACACCCTTAAATATCCCAAGTGGCGACTCTGAATCTTTTAATAATATAATCTCGTTTCGATTGTCCTTTAATTGGAAAAACTCCATTATGCCCTTGCAGGTGTAGGTAAAAATGAGGTGTGACAGCTCTGGCGACTCTGCTGGGGACAAGAACCCAGAACGTTTTGTTTAGGGTTCACAATTCGAGCTTAGAATAATTGTTGTGTTTGGCTTTATCTGATTTTATTACATGATCTGTGCCTAATGTGCTAATTGACTGCTTTTACCGCTTTGATATTTCGTGGATTGTATATAAACTGCGCCGAAACCTATCTTCTCTCTGAGTCTTCTAAATCATGAAGAAGGGTGCACTTCGTGTGACTTATTTTCTGTATAGAGTCTACTCCAATTTTAGAACGAGGTTCGGATAAGTTGCTATACCGGTGAAGCTTCTGTATTCCCGGTACGCTGCCTCCCCCTCGGCTTGAGCTGTCCGCTCGGGTAAGTCAGGTTTAGAACAAACACCTAGGTTTTGAACCTAGAATAACACAGCCTTACGTCGGATCCCTAGTAGGAACACTTATTTGCATCATGTGCATTTGACTTAGGGGGCTCAACACAGGGGTTGGGTCCGTCTAAGACAAGCAACCTGAAATGAAATGACTATCGTGATGCATCCTACTTGTTTTCTGTGCATTTATTTGTTTCAGGCCCGCATGTTGACCGACTTCTGAATATCGAAAATATCGGAAAATTGAGAAAAAGTGAGAAAAAAAAGAAATAGCAGTGTAGAGAGTCAATTACTTATTTTAGAAAAACCAATACCCAAATAGTGCCGAAACTCTATCGAATTTTTCAGGAAAATAATTTTTTAAAAAAAAAAAGAAAAAAAGGATTTTTTTTGTTTTTGAGAAAATAGTTTGTGAAAAAAAAGAGTCCTGTTTTCAAAATAGTTTGTTTTATTTTGCAGAACTACGTAAGTTTGATTCTCACCGGATATGAGATACGTAGGCAACCCATATCGGGTTCAACTATTTTGAAAAATAGGGGTAAATAAATGTCGTCATTTTGTCATAAATTAAGGTGATGTCATTCTTGTCAAAAATAGCAGAATGTCCCTAAAAGGGCATCAGAAGGTTGGTTTTGCGAGAACAGTCACCTTTGGTCATTTTTCAAGGTTTTGGCCGGTTAGCAAACACAGCCTTTTAATCTCCTTCGAAATGTTGAAAGGCCATATTGAAAAGACCGGATATTTTATGAAATTTTTGAGAAACAATGATAAATTTTTTTTAAAAAAAAAGAAAAAGAAAAAAGAGTATTTGTGAGTCTGAGTCTGTTAGTCTATTTTTAGGTTGTATTTCCATTTTTGGTGATAGCGTCTTTTAGAGTCCGTTAATCTTTTAACAAAATGTGTCGTTTTAATAAGCGCATCTTTTCTTTTATGGAAAATTTGAAGAGAAAAAAAATCCAAAATGTGTTACTAGTCATTTTTGTACTTCTCCGTCAGAACTACGCATGGTCTGATTCATGCGGGGACATGATACGTAGGCAATCCACATAAGATTCGACCACCACTAAAAAGAAAAAAACAAGAGAAAAAATAGGAAATAAATAAAATGAAGGAAAATTCGAGAGGCGTTCAAAAAAGGGGCACAAATATAAGAAGCCGGAATGACGCACGCAACTGAAGCAAATGCATGATATAAAGGGTTAACTGCCTAGGTGCATTGCATCTTTAATGTGTGTTTACCTATCTGTTAAAAGCCCTAACGCTAACAGGTTGCTCCCATTTTGTTCTTTTTCAATCCTCAGAAAGATTGTTGGTTTGTGGTTCCGAAAATAGTAATTCCTCTCTACAACATAAAAGCCAAAAGGCGATGGCAGATAACAACAAAATGGGGGAGTTTGATATTGGTACCCAAAAGTGGTTGGTTGAATAGAACACAGGTTTGGCTGATGAGGCAAGGATGTTAAGACATCACATAACAAACATGTATCAGGCTTGGATGGTTGGGAAGGCACCCATACCGCCACCACCTGGTTTCTCAAATGTTGTCCTTACCCAAAATTTGGCATCTCCCGATCACCCTAGTATCTCCATCACTATTCCTTCAAGTTTAAAGAAGCTGAAGAACATAGAACAGTCCTTAAAGAACGTGCAAGGGACGGGAGACTAAGACATCATGACTTACCAAGAGTTGTGTACACTCTCTGACATTCGCCTACTTGCAAGGTTTAAAGTACCAAAGTTCAACTCAAATAAGGAATGCGAAGATCCGGTAGTCCATTTGAGGGAATACTGCAAGGAAATGAGGAATGTTGGCGAGAAAGACGATTTGCTACTGGCATACTTTCGCAAAAGCTTGACTGGGGTAGCTTTGGAATGGTATAATCGTCAAGATGTCAGTAAGTGGAATACATTGGATGACATGGCTCATGACTTTGTGCGACACTTCCAGAATAATACAGACATTATCCCTGATCAATCCTCCATATCTCAGATAGAGGAGAAACCTAAAGAAGGTTTTAGGAAGTTCTGGCTCAGATGGAGTGAACAAGTTGCTCGGGATAATCTTCCCATGGAAAGAAAAGATGTTGTTGAACCTCCCCAACGACAAGGTCCAGTGGTCGTACTTGCTAAACGCCCTCAGCTTCCATATAGACCCCGTGGATATCTTTGTAATTCTCCCAACCATTACTTCTCTCCACAGAACCCCCTAAATCATGCATCACTTCACAGATATCTTGTCCACGTTGCACCACCATATGCTCCATATCCCCGAGGCCCATGAGGGTCTGCACCGTTGCCACAAATGTCTCATCAGGCATTTCAACCACCTGCCCGCAAAAGATTCCAACCAAGTCCAGAGTATAAAATAAAAAGGCTACTGAAAAAAGAGAATTCTTTCAGAGAATCTTATGCAAGTTTGTTTGAAAAGCTAAAGCATTCTGGCCTGATTGAGCCGCTCCTCGGTTGTACTCCAGATCCACAAGGAAAAAGCTTTGATCCTACTGTACGATGCATGTACCACTCTAATGTCCAAGGGCATATCATTGAGAATTGTCGTTCTTTGAAAAAGGAAATAGAAAGAATGATTCACGAAGGGGTAATTGTGATCAACGACAGTAACAAAGAGCATATGAATCCTCTTGGGGATGTATTGATTAAAGCTAAGGATATTGAAGTGGATAATGGTCTTGGAAATGTTGATGCAAAAGTCGGTGGCTAAGAGGTTGAGTTTGGTGATTGGAAAGATGCTCCATCTCTTGGTTATCCTGGGAGGAGTTTTGGTGGCTAATTTTGTTGTCATTTCTGTTGTCCAGATTATTTCAGGGTTATAATCTGGATATTGTCTTGTAAATCAAACCTTTCTATCTTTTGATTTTGTCCAGTCCCTTTGGTCGTAGTATCTCATTTAGTGTTTTCAAGGTTTTTTCTAAGGGTTGTTAACCCCAGTTTAGTTTGCTTGTCTTGTTATTCGAATTGTTTCATCGGCTAATGCAATGTCCTATTTTCTATTATTTCTAGACATTTTCTTTTGTTTAGTCCTCTCCTTTTTATAGTTCTTTTCCTGTCAACTCTAGTGACATGACATGCGCGCACAATTTTAGGCCTAATATTAAAAGTTAATCATAAAGTCATTGGGAGATGATTGAGACACTTAAGG